CAAACCTTTTGACTAGTTGAATAGTCATGTACGAGAGATATATAGGATAGTGTGTCTGTGTTTCTCCCTTAGCTGTAAACATAGACAATGTAAGGTGTGATCAGGGGTGGGAAACTTTCGTGCCGTCAGCCTTTGGTGATTTTTTTGTCGGATGATCAATGTACGAGGGAGTGAGTGTCGGTGGTGTTCAGCAGGTATTCTGTTACCTTAATGCCACTATGTTGTGTTCCTGGAAGTAAGTAAATAAGCTGAAAATGAATTGTTTTGTTCGAACGTGATAAATCGTGAAATGGGAAGAGGTGTGTAAGGATGTTTACTGTTTCTACATAGAGCAACTGCGTGAATGCATGACTAATTACGCTCGGTATGCCGTTGATAATGACTGACAGGATTGGTCATTCTTTTTGCCTCAGTTCGCATGAATCTGTTACAGAAGTAGCACGCATATCTACCCTTGGGGCCCGATTTCTTTGGACGAGGTGACGAAGTAGAGGTGGTGACACACCTTCTCTCAAAAAGTTGCGGAGTAGGAGAGGCTTGTTCTTGCGCGTGTGCCACTCTTTTATAGTTTTTTTTGATTTTTTGTCTTGAACTCGTTTTTCCCGATTTCTAGTCTTTTCACTCTGGTATAAGATGCCGATTGCTGTTTGGATTTGTTGTACTTTCTTGATACTTCTCTCTTTATCTTTGTGCTTCATTCTCATTTGGGCTTTGCTGGACTTGTGGAAGAATCTAAAACACCTAATTTTCTCCTGGAATTGCAAAAGAAATGGTTTAAAGTACTGAATTTTTAGAAAAAAAAAGCCTGCAGAAAAAAGGCAGTTTCGCGGTTCCGCAACAAATTGAAATTCTGTTTGTAGTTTGATGGTTACGAAATAATGCCCGGCAAAAATCTGAAAGTGAACGTGAGCGTTGCCAACACACGACTGTTTATCGGAAATATTCCAAAATCGAAGTCAAAAGAGGAAATTTTGGCAGAATTTAAAGAACTCACAGGTAAATTTTGGCCGAAGAAAGGTGCGGAAATTTATTTCGGATTCTCTCCAAGAACAGTACACTTTTTGAACTGGTTTTTTCGGCAGTAGAAATCGTTTTGGCTGGTTGGTTTTGGTTGGATTGAGAAGTCGCTGTGGAGTGTTGGTGTTGGTTTGTTTCTTTCTTTTATTATTCCAGAGACGTTCCTGCATGGGCCCAAGTGTTTACATTTTCTGTGCTGATCGCCTTAGGCTTCCTTCTTTTAGGGAACCTTTGGCTTGAAGCGGTGCAGGTAAGCCATCCTTTTTGCAGGTATTTTTGGCGTTTTTTGATGCAAAAATTTGAGTTTTGAGCTGTAAACGAGAAATCCGTTTTCAGAAGGCGTAACCGATTGCATTATCTATTCGAGTCCAGATGCGGGCGAGAATCGCAAAAATCGTGGTTTCTGTTTCATTGATTTTTGCGATCATAAAGCGGCATCAGATGCG